CCCCGCCTCTCTGCTCCCTGGCTGAACCACAGGCAGGCAGGGGCATGGCCAGACGCCAGCCCCACTAAGGTAAAGGAGGCAGAGAAGAGATTTATTCACCTTCCCTGTCCTGTCCCACCAGCACAAGCCCCAGCAGGGTCTGACAGGCAGGAGGACAGCAGTCCATGCCAGACACTTCTCTGCTTTCTGCTCCAACAGCAAGGGCATGGCAAGCCCTTGCAGTAGCCTTAAGTAAACTGGCCAGGGAAGGGTTTAATTCCCCCCTCCCTGTCCCACCAGCATGGACCTGAGCCAGGGTCCACCTGGCATTTCCCCCCTCACTGCTGCAGGGATGGCAGCCTGGCCAGATGCCACCCAACATGGTCCACTGAGGTAGAGCAGGCAGGAAGAGAGTTCATTCCCCACTCTGCCCCAGGGGGATGGCAGCCAGGGTCTGCCAGCCCTGACTGCCACTGCCGCCTATCGCACCCTGCACAGGGCGAGCGGCACAAAAATCTCTGTCTCTGCCCCCTCCACCAGTTGTTGAAGGGCGTGGGGAAATAACCCCCCTTTCTGCCCCTTCACCTAAGGGGGCCATGCTAGCTGGCCTCTGGCTGCACCCCCACCCCTGCTGCTGGAGCAGCGAGGGGACAGGGACTGTGACAGGGGAGCAGCCCCTCTCATGCTTTCCTGGGGAGTGCAAGCCTCTTCCTGGCAGAGGGGCTGTGTTATGGGGCAGTCACAGTTGCCACAGACTGTGCAGGGAGTGCTAGGGCAGGCTTGGGGGCCTATGGCCACCCCTCCAAGCCCCAGTGCTGCCACTTGCCCCACACAGTCTGCAGTAGCTCTGCCTGCCCCGCCTTTGCCCAAAGCACAGTGCCCTGCCAGGAAGAGGCTTGAGCTCCTGGGAAACCATAAGAGGGGCTGTTGCCCCATCAGGGTCGCTTCCCCCTTACTGCTCCAACAGCAGGGGCAGGGGTACAGACAGAGGCTGGCCAGCATGGCCCCCTAAGGCAACGGGGCAGGGAGGGGGGTTATTTCCCCACCTTCCTCCAGCATCTGGCAGAGGGCAGGGAAGAAACTTATCCCGCCACTCGCCCCACGTAGACAGTGATCAGCAGCAGCGACAGTTGGGGCTGACAGACCCCAGCTGTGGTCCCCCAGTGGGTAATGGGGATGGAGGGGGGAATAAACCCCCTCCCTGCATCTTCTGCCTCAGGGGGCCATGCTGGCTGGCCTCTGGCAGCACCTCCGCTTCTGCCACTGCAGTAGTGAGGGGGAGTGCCAGGTGGGAGCCAGCCTGGACTTGTGCCAGTGGGAAAGGGAGGGGGGAATTAAACCCCCTCCCTGGCCAGTTCACTTCAGGCTACTGCTAGGGCTGGCCACGTCCCTCCAGCACACCTTCCCTGCAGCCAAGGGCTGCTCTAGCTCCTAAGAATTCCTTCTGGAAAGAGTGTGACACAGTAAATTTGCCCATCACATGCAGCATTTTGCCCAGTGCAACAGTGCCCTTAAACAATTCACTGAATGCACATAGGCAAGGAGGTACATAACATACTTCTATTGACATATTTTTGCATTCTGTTTAATTTACAATTAATTATTAGAAGTGGCTTTACTTGTACTCTGGGGACATAGGTGGAACTTGCTATGGATTGTAACGGTTTCTTTCTTTAAAAAAAATGGTGTTAAAACATTTTCCACAGATACTTTTAGTTTGTTTATTCATCCATTTTTACTGAAAGCTATACCACTACATCTATTAACAGCATACATTATAACTGGGGCAACAACAACTGTAGCCTTATTTATGTCTTAAGGCATTTTGTCAAAATTACCTCAATTCATCCTCTAATTTGGGGTGCTCAAGTATTGGAAATTAACTATTTGGGTATACAATTTTAAGTACCTACAATTAGAGGCAGCTTTTGCAAGTTTGCCCCTTTAAGACCACACAACATTTACCTCTATGCAAGTTAGAGCCTCTTGAGACCATTCTTTTTCTACACTTAAGCTCTCCTAAGGACCTACTTCTTCCATAATGTCTACAGCAAATTTAGTCTCTATTCCTTGTTCTTTTTCCCCTAACCTATTTTCCTATCTGTTCCTAAACTGTAAACTCCACAAAGAGGTGACCTTTCATTTGTGCACATCCACAAATCATCTGGCCCACAAATAAAATAAAAATTATATTCTCCCTCTAGTAGTTGGGCTAAAAGACTGAACATCTCGATGCTTTATCACCACTTGAGAAAATCCTTTAACCTGACAGGTGGATAACTATTTCTGATGCTGAGGATCTCACATTAGATCCACTGAGCTCTAAAGAGACACCATGTGAGTGGATGCATGGTAGTTACAGTAGCTGTTAAACACAGGAGAAGGCTGAACTGACTTGACTTTTCTTTGAGAAATCAACACTGCTCTGTCAACACAGCCAATGTTCTGTTGAAATTTAAAGTCAGCGTCTGCCTTTCCTCCTTGATGTTTCATTCTTCATGTGCCAAAATATTGTGTCTTCTCAAACCAGGACCCAAGGGCCATTCTTTCCCGTTCTAAAATAACAAATTTGAAGGTGGTGTATGGAAAGAAAGCAAGAACAAGTGAATTATTCTGACCTTGTACTCCCCACACACATACAAGAAGTGCCAGAATAATTTTCCACAAATGCCTCACTACCCTTAAAAACACCAAAGTAATTAGCTGCGTCCATCATATCAAAGGAAGTAGAGGGGTTTAAAGCAGCAAAAGATTCATACAACTTACTGTAAAGGGTACCTCAGTAAGATATTTCTCAGAGGTACCTGCAGAATGGAACTCAAACACAGTGCAATTGGTACATCAAGGTAAGCAAAAAGACATATTTCAAAATATGCAATGGGAATCACTCTACATTGCCTAGAAAAGAATGAAGTGCTCTAAAACCTTCTTGAGAGTGCAAAAGAGAATTCTCCTGGTTTAGACTGAGAGAATGCTGAATGAAGATTATTCCACCTAAAAGCACTAGGTGAGACTAACCAGGTTCTGCCGATTTATCACGCTAGAGGGCAAGATATAAAAAATTAACAGTGTTTACAACTAGGTTTTTGACAAACTGGTAACTTCTGATCTAATCTAAATGTATGAATGTGTATGGCAGTGTCCTGTCCCATCCACCCCACTCCCCCGTGCCGCCACCTGCTTCACATCTTCATGTTCGTTACTTTTAAAAAATATTTTCTAATTCAGTTAATATCAATATGTAATTAGGCACTGGTTAACCACAGAATGCCTAGAGCAGTACTTGTAAAGACAGAGGTAGAATACCCATGACAAGATCCTCACTCCTGCTTCAGCTTCTAGCGGCCGGATTAAAGAAGCTGAAAGTTAGCAGTTGGTTCTGGCTACCCACGCAGAAGCCCGAGGGATGTTTCTGTAAGCATCTTAGAACTGTCTAAATCAGTATTGTCCAACTGGTGGTTCACGGGCTGCATGCAGCTTGCAAGGAGTTAATTTGTGGCACCCCTAAGCTCCCACTCAGTCACCACTCCCTCCATCAATCTAGCTGCCATGCTCTCCAGGCTCCCCCACCCTCCTCTAGCTTCTTGCCCTTGCCCCAGGGAATAGAGTGGTGCAGTACAGCACAGCCTGCAGCACTGGAGAAGCCAGTAGCTCGGAGCACCCCCATCTATGCAATGCAGCAGGATTGTGCCTGCCCACAGCTTGCACTGGTTCACCCTGCAAGGCAAGCAGCCTTCACCTGCTTACAAGTTGGATGGACAGTCCTAGTTTAAATCATAATGCGGGCTGCTCCAATTCCCACAACAGTTCAACACTAGGAGGAGACAAAAGGTGGCTACACCTCTTAAAGATGCAGCACTGAATCCCATGGTGCAAGAACCCTGCTGCATTCTGAGTGAAAGTAAACAATGGTTATAAAAATATGAGCCAGGATTCTGATCTGGTAAATCAAGTCACCCCTGGAAGAGATTTTGTTTCAAGCCAAGTAACAGCTAATGAGTTCATGCCTTAAAGCAGGTTGATTATTTGGATATTCTTCAGAAAATAAACTTGGACCTGTGCTCTTAATAAATTACTTAACTGTTAAACAGATGTGCCTGTATTCCCTTTGGCTCCTCTGTATTTTAAACTGTTTTTTCAAGTCTGCTTCTTTGCCTATTACAAATGAAAGATGCAATTACAACATCAGCAATTTCTGTTGTGAACGTTCTGGTTTATTTACAGAACTTACAGAAAATACTGATGACAATTATACTAAGCACTTGAACTACAAACTAACAGACAAGTTTTACCGAAGTAAAATCTGTCTAAAAGGGTGAAAGCTGAGTGAATTGAATCTTGACCAGCTATTTTCAAGTCCTAAATACAGAAAATTCTATCTGAAGGTAAGATTTGGGGGTGAGGAGTAATAAACATTTCTGTAAGGATATTATAAGGAGACATTTCAGTACTTAGAGGTACCCCTCCCCCTCAACCCTAACTGCATATCTACACGCACACAATTTTCAGAAATTAGCTTGTGCATGGCCTACTTGTTCCAATGGAAAAAGAATCAATTAAAACACTAAACTTTCAGAATAAGCTGTATATACCACAGAAGTAAGACACTCAGTATTCACTGTCAAGATGCATCAAAACCTCCAGGTCACCGAATAAATGCACTGAGGTGTAGCAAGACTACAGGAGGATGGCTGTAGGGCTAAGTACCTTGAGGTTACCCTAGGTAACCTCTTTCATGAAACACACAGTCCTAGAAACACTTGCAAGAGTTCCCTCTCTTCCCACCTTTAACCAATTCAATACTACCAAACTTTAAAGCCTAAAACAGCTATCCACCAGTTTTTAAACTGTTAGAAAACTGAGCCAAGATATAGCCACACAGATATAGCCAAGCTGTATTATAAATGTAACCCTACACATTTTATAATATGTTCTGTTATCATTATGTTCTGTTATGGTAACTTTTGTGTATTCCTCCTCTGTATTAATATGCATGATGGGAGGTTTGGGAGACTACTTACACTTGCTTCTGCTGTTTGTGGGTACAGTGCGCAAAAGTAGAAGGCCAGATGGGTCTGATCTATGTCCACAGGGCCTCTCCTCCAAAACTGTGAGACAGGGGTGTCGCGCGCGGCTCTGCTGCGCACAGTTCGGTGGAGCTGGTAGGTCTTTTCCCCTTGGGCGGGTTTCATAAAGGAGGTGGCTGCACACTCATAATGGTTACAGAAGTTTTTGTTTTCGTTTTTACTTACACGTCAGTGGAATAGACGCGCAGGCGCAGACCAAGCAGAAACCAGGTATCGGTTACGTTGCGAGATCGACAGCTGCGGAGACC